CTGCATTTTGTTTGTTGAGTCTTGTCAATTAGTGAGTTCTTTTGTTTTATCTCTGAGTCTCTGTTATGTGGTGAATGTGCTGACTTTGCTAGTGTGAGTTAACTTAGGCCTGTAGCTTTAACAAGGGCTAGCCTTAAACTAACTTAGTCTACATATGCTTCTAATGCTAATTTGGTTTATACTAACTTAATCTATATGTTAATTTTGGCTTAAAAACAGACAGGTGGGGGATCTTAAACTTCCTGATCCTCCTGTCAGTCTTAGGGAACCACATTCCTACAAGATCACTAATTGGCTTTATTGCAACGGTTGAGGGTGATGTTTTACCCTTACAGGGTACCATAATAACAGTAAAACTCACGGCAGAGAAAATGAATACCGGCCAGTTCAAAGACACAAGGGAGGGCTCGTAAACCGGGCCTTGCCTCAATTTCTTCCCAGTCCAGGCCTTGCCTTAAAATGAGAGGCAGCATCCTTACCAGCTTGTGTTGCCTGCATGGCCCCATCAGAAGAGGTTGGTGACTCATGATAAAAGAAAGGATTAGTGAAAAGAATAAGGATATATAGTTTGAACCCTTCTGCAAAATTAACAGGAAGCTGTTGTATTGATTGCTATATTCTAGATGTGTGTGTGTATTTCTAATGTGGATATGAGCCAGATAGTATGTTATTTAACTATTAAAATGATATTTTCCTTCTGTAATGTTGCTTTTATAATTAAATTTAAAGCGTAGTATTGAAGTTACATATAGACTTTTATTTTCATCACTAATTTAAAAAAGCAAACACTTAATGTTCTGAATAGATCAGATTCAATTATGAATTTTATCCAAACAACTCAAAAGTTCTTATGTTTAACACCTACATGTAAAAAATAAAATACCTACATGTAATTAATATAGTCATTGTACAAATTTCTATGTCTCCAAAGGGAAAATGGAACATATAATTTTAACAATTTTGTTTAAATTCCTTTTTTTCCTCTTTACTATTTTAAATTATATATGGCATCCTTTTAAAATCTGGGACTGAAGAATTTCTCTTCCATTTTTATAACTGATTTAACCAAATTACAGAAAAATATATGATTTTTAAAATCACATATTTTTAAAAGATTTAAAAGCACTCTAATATCCAAAGCTTTGCCCCTAGTGAATTTTTCTCTATTGTTGATTTGATAAGTTTTTAGCCAGTTTATCTGTGATACAACTAAATTCATCATCAGTAGAATGCAGTTTGTCAGTATCCATGTATATTACTGTTTTAAAGTCAGAAGACCAGAGTTCTGAGGGTTGGAATGATCTGAAGTTGAATCCTGGCTTCTCTGTTTACCAGCTCTGCCATTTAAATTGATGTTTCTGTGTTTGTTTCCTAACATATAAAATGGAGTTGCTTTATTAAATTGCAGAGATGAAAGGAAATGACATGTGTTTAGATGCTGACACTTAGTGCATGCTAAGAAAATACTGTTCTCAATAATGACATAATAATAGTTCACAATAATATTTATTTAATTAATTTATTTTAAATTCGCCAGAGGTTTTGTGGGCTGGCCAGAGAGAGAGAGACAGAAGAAGGGAGGAAGAGAGAGGAAACGAGAATGCAACCTCTATGGGGCATGGCCTTGCTGCAATCCCTTTTTGCTAGAGGTTTTGTGGGCTGGCCAGAGAGAGAGGACAGAAGAAGGGAGGAAGAGAGAGGAAACGAGAATGCAACCTCTATGGGGCATGGCCTTGCTGCAATCCCTTCTCCTCCATTTCTCAATCCTGTTGGGATTTTGGGCATGCATGCACATACTCTAGCATGTTTTTCAAGCCACCAGGTCCAGGATTTGAATTGCACAACTGTCATGTGGGATCCGGCCGCCTTTACCACTACACCACCAATAGGCTTGTTTGCAATATTTAAACCTCTACTCAATTTCTAGCTATAGAGAATGTAAAATGAATTATTACAATGCTGCAAAAACCATTTTGATTCAATGCAATTACTTTTTACATTTATCTTTAACATTTTTCACATTCTTAGAAACTATTTTAAATACTTTATTAATGTAAAACTTGTGTTGCCAGAAGGGATCACAGTTTATTCAGTTCTATGCAATGAAAGTCATGATTTATAAATATCCTAGAACATGTGTTTTTTTTTTTCCTTTGCATTTTTGGAATTAAATATTAAACTTGACTATTTTAGACTTCTTTCCCTTCTCCTGAATCTACTACTTCACTTTTCCTAAATAGGAAAATTATTTTAGTTAACTTTTAAAAATCCTAATTAAATATTTAGTCTTTTTTTTTTTTTTTAAGAGAGATTTTTGCTATAGGGCATGTGTGCTCACTAGAGAGACAGGAGAGACAGAAAGCAAGAAATAACCCCCTCCCCCCCACCCCAAGGGGAATGGCCATGCTGCAATCCCTTCTCCTCCTAGGATCTTGGGCATGCACACATATGCATTGGTGTGAGTTTTAAGCCACCAGGTCTGGAACTCAAACTGTAGTCAACTATGTGGAAGGCTAACGATGTAACCATTATGCCATCTGCTGGTTCCCTTTGTCCATTTTAAGGCATTATGTTTAAATTTTAGTCAGATTATTCTCTTCAACTTTTGATTAAAAATTTGAGTGGCACAGTCTTGTTTTTTCTCTATTAAGGAGATAGATTTTAATCTAATATTGAGTGATCTAGAAATTAAATTAATCTAATTCAGATTAAAATGTTTCTTAATTAATGCTGATTGCTCATAGATAAATGGAAAGCTCAGAATGCCTATGTGATTAAGAGTCAGGACTCCTAGTAAGTGTTGGTTCTATTACCAACTTGCTTTCTGGCTTTGAGAAAGACGTTAACAACTACAATATAAAGATTCAATGTTTGAACATTCATGAAAAAACTTCCCACAAGCATTTGCTGGGAACCACATTAAATGAGTTTTTTACTTTTTAAAACCAATATATTAACAGTTTTAAAAGGATTTTGTTTTGGTCTAGCCTCACAGCCTAGGAGCTAAAGGAGCCAGATCCTATGTGGCTGACGTAGGTGACCTGAGAAATAATAGTAATAATACAATAATTTTTTTTCTTTTTTTCTTGGAGAGGTTTTTGCTATAGGACGTGTGTGCTCGCCAGACAGACAGAGACAGACAGAGAGCGAGAAATCACCCCCCCCCAGGGGGGATGGCCATGCCACAACCCCTTCTCCTCCATTCTCTTCTTGGGATCTTGGGCACGCACGCACATGCAGCCGGTGTGAGTTTAAGCCACCAGGTTCGGGACTCGAACTGCAGTCGACTACATGGGAGTCCAGCGACATAACCATTACGCTAACTGCTGGTCCCATAATATAAGAATTTTATTTCATGTGATTTTATGAAATCATATAGAGGTAAGAAGATGACAGTGGTTATCTTTTTACTAGTGGGAAAGCATGAGTTCCAAAGCCATCCTGTAGAGTTTCCAGTACCCACCATCACTCAGAATAATCTTAGGGAGGTGTTTTAAAACTCTGACCTTTGGTTTCTGCACCTGAAACTGGTTATCATACCATTAAATATTTATCGAACGTGCACTGTGTCCAAAACATTTGCAAAACACTTCAGCTACATTGTTTAATTCTACAGTAACCTGGCTAGGTAAACGCCATTTAGCAAATGAGCAGCCAGGGTGCAAAAAAGTAGATAATAACTTGATCAAGGTCATAGCTAAATTCAAGGTGATGAAAGGATTATAGGCAGGATCAGCAGGTGGCGTGGTAGTTAAGGGCACTGGACTTCCAAATGACCCACTGTGATTTGAGTCCCAGACCTGGCAGCTTGCTTTCTCACTTTCCCTCTTTCTCTGTTTCTCTCTTGCTCTCTATCTCTCTGGTCAATTTAAAATAAATAAATTAATTAAAATAAAATAATTCTTAAAAACAAATAAAGGATTAGAGATGATGTATGAAAAGTAGGTTCAGACTTGAGTCAGTATTCAGTAAGTCATTATGGGACCAGCCAATGGCCTGGTGGTTTAGGCGACTGGGTCCCACAAGGCTGACTGTGTAATTTGAGTCCCTGAAGGGGTAGTTTGAAACAAAATGCCAGGTGCTTGTGCATGTATGCCCAAGTTCCTGAGAGGAGTATGGAGGAGAAGAGATTGTGGCATGGCCATCCTCAGAGGGGTAGGGGTGATTTCTCTCTTCTCCCTCTCTCTCTGGTGAGTGAACATGTCCTATAGCAAAAAACTAAAAAAAAAAAAAAGTCATTATGTGTGGGAATTGATGCTGTTATAAAGGAAATCAAGCTGAATACGTTCAGATCAGTCTTGGTTTGTAAATTATGTATGAACTGCAGGTTGAATCTTGTTTCAGACATCTGTTCCCTGAAACTCATTCCAAAATGGTTGAGTGAAATTTCTTTCTTTCTCTCTCTCTCTTTCTTTTTGAGAGTTTTTTTGCTATAGGGTGCATGCGCTTGCCAGAAAGTCAGAGAGACAGAAAGTGAGAAATCACCCCTCAGGGGGGATGGCCACGCTGCAGTCCCTTCTCCTCCATTGTCCTCTGTAGATCTTGGGCACGCACGCACACATGCCCAGCATGAGTTTAAGCCACTGGGTCTGGGACATGAACCATGATCAACTACATGGGAGTTCAGTGACATAGCCATTATGCCAACTGCTGGTCCCATTCTGTCATACTTTTAAAAGGTTGCTATTGAAGTGTAATTTTGGGACTTTCATTCTAAGAATCTTCTGTCTTCCTTCTGGTATAAGAAAAAAAAAAAAGAGCAAACTTTAGAGAAGTTTGACCTCTCAAGAATGTTTGTATGGGGAATTACTAAGGCATGATGGTCTATAAAATTTGTAAGTTTTTATACCAGGCCTAATTCCATATTCTCTCTCTCTCTCTCTCCCTCTCTCTCTCTTTTAAGAGAGAGAGAGTTTTTTTTTTTTTTCCTATAGGGTGCATACACTTGTTGGAGAGACAGAAAGTGATAAATCACCCTCTAGAAGGGATGGCCACACTATAATCCTTTTTCCTCCATTCTCCTCTTCTCCTCTTGAGATTTTTGGGCATGCATGCGCATGCACCTGGCATGTGTTTGAAGCTGCTGGGTCCAGGACTCAAACCACAGTCAACCATGTGGGAGTCCAGTGCCTTAAACACTTTACTACTTGCTGTCCCCCTGATTCCCTTCTTTAACACTCAGCGTTCATTGAATATAATGAAGTCTAAATTCAACCCAAATTGGGTACATTTTAATAAATTGCCTAGTCTATTAATATTTTGGGCTCAATTTACCACAGACCATACTTTCGAAATAACAAATTTTATAAGAAATCCTGTAATATGTATCCTCATTAAAAAAAAAGACGTATGTCGTTTTATTCTGATTCTACCATGATCAACTACATGGGAGTTCAGTGACATAGCCATTATGCCAACTGCTGGTCCCATTCTGTCATACTTTTAAAAGGTTGCTATTGAAGTGTACCGTTATATATTTTGTTCAATAATCAAGAATTATGTTTAGAACAAGTGATTTCTTTCTTAGAAACTTAAAATCTCTGTGTTTTTTACTCTGTTTGCAAGTAGCAGTTGAAAAGTAGGAAGCCTGCCAATGGACCAGAATGAGATATTTTTCTTCCTTCCTGATCTCCCTGTGCTGGTCAGAATTTCTTCTTTCATATGCTCACTAGAACTAGGACACTACTGTGGATCTTTGTCTTTTTGTTCACTCTTTAGCCAAGGCCCTAGAATAGTGCTTGGCTCATAGTAGGTCTCAAATATTTGTTGACTGAGAGAACAAAGCATCTCTTGTACCAGTCTGGGTATCTTTAGTATGCATTTTGCATTTTTACTTAATAAATACATTCTGACGGTGAGGCATTGTCCGTGGAGTTTGCCTCATCCTCTGGGCCTACTATAGTGTGCTGTTGTTTACAGTTACAACGGTGCTTTTGTGAGGGTGAGAGGGAAAGCCGTGGGTGAAGAAGTCAGTGTGGCACAGAAGCAGCTCTGTAGAGACAGAGTAGCGTGGTGGTTGCCTGCAGCCTGGTTTAGAGAAAAGCAGAGGATGACTGCAAATGGGCAAGAGGATCTTTTCTGGGAGATCATTTTATGAATTTGTAAGTTCATTAAAAATCATTGAATTATTCAAATGAGTAACTTTATGGTGTGTAAATTGTAACTCAGCAGAACTGTTAAAAATTTAATACCTAGGTAGAAGTTAATATTTTTTAGTCTCGTGCTTATTGGAAAACTTGGATGGTATAATTATTTTTATTTCTTAACATTGGTGGCTACAAACTATTTCAGGACAGAGAAGCGTTAATAGTGTTCTTTTATTAAAGTATGTTCTTTTGTGATATTGGTTTGGAACTTCTATTGCTCTTAATATGAACCAACTTGTTTCATCTAATTTCCTTACATTCTATTGTGGATAGTTTGCATTATTTCTAAAGCCATAAAAAAGAATAGGTGTCAGTCTACATTGCTAATTTTTTTTTTAACTGGGTTGACACACCAATTTCTCTTCTCCTGCCTTTCTCAAGGATTGGTTTGACTTAGATAGCTTTGTTTATACTTTATTTTATTTTATTTTTGGAGAGGTTTTTCGCTATAGGGCGCGTGCGCTCACCAGACAGACAGAGAGAGACAGAGAGACAGAAAGCGAGGAATCACCCCCCAGGGCGGGTGGTCACGCCACAATCCCTTCTCCTCCATTCTCCTCTCGGGATCTTGGGCATGCACGCACACACGCCCGGCCTGAGTTTTAAGCCACCGGGTCTGGGACGTGAACCGTGGTCGACTACGTGGGAGTCCAGCGACATAGCCATTACGCTAACTGCTGGTTCCCTGTTTATACTTTATTTTTAAAAAATTTTTACCAGAGGGGCACTCACATTTACTGGAGAGAGATGAGAGAGGGCAAGAGAAAGAAAGTGAGAAAGCACCCACCCCACATGGGGAATGTTGCAGTCCCTTCTCCACCATCTATTTCTCCTTCCGGACTTTGGGCATTGACAAATAAACACTCAGCATCTTTCTCAAGCACTAGTTCCAGGACTTGAACTACAGATTCTGCCATGTGGGATCTAGCTGTCTTAACCATCATGCCTGCTTTTATTTTTTTAGAGTAATTTTCATATCATTTTTCTAAGCAAATTAATGCAGATTTGATATTTTGATAAATTATTTATAAAAGTTCTTGCATACATATAATAGAGGCCATATAGTTTAAAGATGTAATTAAGGTTACTGAGATCAGTTTACTCTCAAGTCTGGCAATATCAAGCATTCATTGCAAGGGCATAGTTGTAATTAAAATCTACTTGGAATTTTTTTTTCTTTTTTTGGAGAGGTTTTTGCTGTAGGGCGCATGCGCTCGCCAGAAAGATAGAGAGAGACAGAGAGACAGAAAGCAAGAAATCACCCCTCAGGGGGGATGGCCATGCTGCAGTCCCTTCTCCTCCATTCTCCTCTTGGGATCTTGGGCATGCACGCACATGTGCCTGGTGTGAGTTTAAACCACCGGGTCCAGGACTTGAACTGTGGTCTACTGTATGAGAGTCCAGCGACATAGCCATTATACCAACTGCTGGTCCCATCCCCACCGTGATTTTCAAGCCACCAGGTCCAGGACTCGAACCAAACAGTTGGCCATGTGGGATCCAGCACCTTCATTTTCATGCTTCCTGCTGGCCCCAAGTGTTTGAATTTTCATAGAGTGCTAGGCTGATAGTTCAAACATTGTTGTTTAAATTAGTCACCATCTTTTATTAGGAATTTGTTTATGTGTCTGACAATTTTGTCAGTTTCCATTTGGACTAGTTGAATATTTCTGTGAGAAATCTTTAAAATTTATAGCTTAAAAGATAAGGAATATAAATGCACTTCACATTTCTTTCTACTTTTTGAGAATTCTTTATTGTTGTAACTCAAAACATCAACTATAATTTCACATGTAAGAATGCTTGTGGTTGATTAATGGGTACTGTGAGTATCAATTTATATAAGCAAAAGTATTTTGATAAGTTTGTTCAATAAGGCTTATGGTTTTATAATTCTTTAAAAAGAATTATTTTATTTAACTTTATTTATTTACTTTTTAAAATTTGATCAGAGAGGGACAGAGAAAGAGAGGGAGAGAAAGTGAGGAAAGCAAACCACCAACCAGGTCCAGGACTTGAACCACAGTCGGCCATGTGGGACTCCAGTGCCCTTAACCACCACATCACCTGCCGGCCCCTGGTTTTTAATTGTTAATTAATAAAAAAAAAAAAAGATTGTAAATTTTTGTATTAGCTTATTGAACAATACTTTTTTTTTTCACAATATGAGTTTGTTTTTGGAAGAAAGTTCAAGATATTGTTTTGTTTCATTCTGTTTTTAAATCACTCATTTCCCCTTCCTTTGTTTTTATTTTATTTTACTTTTTAGGATTTTGGCCCCCAACAGTAATTATCAAGATGTTGAGACTCTCTTTAACTTCCTTATCAAATATGAGGTATGAGAAATATTTTTTAATGTTTATCTCATTTCCACTATAAGCAGATGTTAATATAAATAAACGTAGGTGTTCTAAAATGTAATAGAATGCTGTTTAATTGATATTTGCTGTAAACTTTTTAAAAAGTTGTTTATTATATTCATGATAGGGAGCATGTGCACATGAGAGAGTGGGGAACCTTGACAAGGTTTCAGTGTGTTTTTCAAGCTGACCCCGGGATCCAAACCTGTGGTCAGCCATGTGACTTCCAGCATTGCAGTTCAGCTTGCTCGTGACTGTGCCACCAGGCACAGAAGTTTTCCAATGATAACCTTTTTTCCCCCCTTTTTTTATATTTAAGGTGTACAAACATGTTTTGATAGTGAAATTTAGTATAGTCATTTACTGTAGTCAAATAAACGCACATCTCACAAGTAAGCATCATCTCGCATACTTACATACTGTGTTGTATGGCAAGAACACCTAAAGTCTACTTTTGGAGCAAAAATCCCAACATAATATACTATTAACTCTAATCCTCACTGCTGTGCATTACATCTCCAGACTTGTTTATCCTACACACCCTAACTGCAGTTTTCTGTCATTTGAGTTGCAGATGACAGAAAATACATCTCCCCGTTTCCTGCCTCCCTTCTCCCCTATTGTGACATTCCCCTTTTTCTTTTGTTTCCTGAGTAAAATGTGATTGAGTCTCAACGCTTTCTCCAGTCCAGTATTATTTCTCATCAGGGGTTCCATAAACGTTTTAGACAGGTTGTTTTTTCATTGTGCCACTGTAGGGTTTTAACATCCGTGCTCCCCAGGTACTAAATGCCTGTAACTGTCCTGATCACTGTCACAACCAGAAATGCCCTACCACCCCAGACACATTACTCAGATGACTCCCAGAGAGGAAGAACCACCTCTGTCTGAGAACCACTGATTCTTGGGTAGAAAAGCTATAATTTAGTTTCCTGTATAGCAGCATGGACCCTGGAGTCAGAGCTATAATGAGATTCCAGTGTGCTTTGTAAATTAACCTTCATGCTTTCCTCATCATTAATTCATTCCTCCACTGACTTAAGGAAAATAAAATACTCTGTTGATTTTCAGTTTCTATTTACGTAAAGGTCTTTGTGTTCTCTGTATGTTCCCACTTTTCAATTTTGTGTTTATGCTCAATTTCTAAAGCAGTGTAAATGAAAGAATGTGACACAGGTTTCATATTTCTTATGGAGTCAAACTTCTTTAAATTTATTTCTTCACTTTTATTCCTGGTTAGGTCTTTATTTAACTTTCTGTGTGTCACATCACCCATTAGAACCCAGTGATTAAGAGCACAGATTCTGAGATCAAACTGTCTGTGTTAAATGTTGCTTCTTCCACTTATTAACTACATGATCTAGGAAGAACTTTTTTTTTTTTTTTTTGGAGAGATTTTTGCTATAGGGTGTATGCACTCACCAGAAAGACATTTTTTTTTATTTATCTATATATATGTATTTATTTTAAATTTGACGAGAGAAGGAGAGAGAGAGAGAGAGAGAGAATGAGAAAGCAAGTCTCCAGATCCAGGGCTTGAACCATGGTCAGCCATGTGGGAATCCAGTGCCCTTAACCACCATGCCACCTGCCAGCCCCTCTTTTTCTTTTTTTAACTTTATTTATTTATTTTACATTATTTTATTTTATTTTATTTAAAGTTCTTTTATACATTCAATCACGTTTTTTAGCTTACAAAGTGAATATTCCAACATGTGTACATTTCTCCCTAGTCCATCCAGTTGATAATCCTATAAAGTTATCTTCCACAGATAATACCCCGTTTCTTTGTCCCATTAATGCTTTGCCTGTCTGTTTTTCTCCTTAATGTCCTTCCTCATACTTCATTCCTTCATCCACCCTCTTCCCACACTATATCCGGTATTCACAACCATTTACTGGGTTTCTGTATCCTTTAGTCATTCAGTTTTGGTCATAGAGTGCGGACACTTGGTATATATTAAGTGGGTTAAGTGGGGACATAAAATGTCTCTCCTTCATAGCCTGGCTTGCTTCACTCAGCAGTAAATCTTCCATATTCATCCACTTTCTGTCAAAAGCCAGGGCTTTCTTGTTTTGCTTGTTTGTTTGTTTGTTTTATAGCTGAATAGTATTCCATAGAGTATATGTGTCACAGTTTTCCAATCCATTCATCTGTTTGTGGGCATTTGAGTTGGTTCCATGTCTTAGCAATTGTGAATAATGCTGCAATAAACATAGATGTGCAAGCAGTATTCCTTTTCTGCTGGCATTTTGTTGTTGTTTTTCCAATTCCCTGAGGCATGATGTTAGGTTGCCTATTTTCCACCTTTCCATCTTTTTCTTATGTGCACCAATTGCTATGAATTTCCCTCTTATGGCTGCTTTTGCAGTGTTCCATAGATTATGAAAACTTGTGTACTCCTTATCATTTGTTTCCGTAAATCTTTTGTTTTCAGACTTAATTTCTTCAGTAGTTGAGAAGTCATTCAGGAGTAGGTTGTTTTGTTTCCATGTATTTGTGTATTTTTGAGGATTTTTCCTGAAATTAATATCAAGTTTATTTCTATCATGGTCAGAGAAGATGCTGGATATAGTTTCTGTGCCTTTGAATCTGTAAAAGTTTGATTTGTGCCCTATCATATGATCAGTCTTTGAAAAGGTTCCATGCAGAGGTGAGAAAAATGTATTATTTTGTGGTCTTAGGGTAGAAAGTTCTATGGATGTCTGTCAAGTCCATTTGATTTATAGTATTGTTTAGGTCCTGTATTTCTCTGCTTATTTTTAGTCTAGAAGATCATCTAAAGAAGTTAATGCGGTATTGAGATCCCCCAAATATATGTTGCAACCCATCTCTCCTTTTAGCTCTAGCAGTCTTTCCTTCATGTATTTGGGTGCTCCTGAGTTGGGTGCATAGATATTTATAAGTGTTATGTCTTCTTGATGAATTAGCTCTTTTACTACCATATAATGCCCTTCTTTGTCTCTTCTTATAGTTTTTGTCTTAAAGCCTGTGTTGTCCTAAATCATCTTGATTCCAGCCCTCTTTGATTTCTGTTTGCATGAAATTCCTTTTTCTAGCCCTTCACTTTTTGTGTAGGTTTATCTTTATCCATAAGGCATGTTTCTTGTAGGGAACAGATAAGGGGTTTCTGTTTTTAATCCATTCAACCAATCTGTGTCTCTTGATTGAAGAATTTAATCCATTAACATTCAACATTATTATCGATATTTCCGTAATGTTCCTATCATTAGTGAGCCATTTTCTCGGTTGTTTTTCGTTCTCTTATATCTGTCTATCTGGCTTTAGTTTTCCTGGTATAGCATTCCCTTCAGAACTTCTTCAAGAGCTGGTCTTGAGTTGTTTGTTTATCTAAGAATGTTTTTATCTTTTCTTCCTGTATGAAAGATAATCTTACCAGGAATCATAATCTTCGTTGAAATTGTTTTTTATTGAACACTTTGATTGTATTTCCCCATTCTTTTCTTGCCTGCATTATTTTCGACGAGAGATTCAATGTTAACCTGATAGGGTAACCTTTGTAAGTAACTTGACATAAGTAACTTAACTCTCTTGCCAGTTTTAGTATCTTGTGTTTGTTTGTGGTTTGGCCAGTCTGGCTATGATGTGCCTTAGAGAAGATCTTTTTGAATTGATTCTATTTGGGGTTCTTTGTGTTTCTTGGGTCTGGATCTTTGACTGCCTCTCTTTATTTGGGAAGTTTGCTTCCAGGATTTCATGAAATAGATTATCAATGCCCTTATTATTTTCTGCACTTTCTGGGATACCAATTATCTGGATGTTTGGGCACTTAATGGTTTCGAGTGTTTCTCATATATTGTCCTCATTTTTCTTGTTTATTTTTCAAGCTTTTTGGATAATTTTTTGTAGGTCAGAGGTTTTTATCTTCTACATCTGAGATTTTATCTTTTGAGTGATCTAATCTCCTTTTAGTACTTTCAAGGGAGATTTTAATTTCCTGTATCACAGTCTTCATCTCTAATCTTTCTGTTTCTTTTTTTTAATATCATTCTTTCAGATCATGAAAGGAATTCCTTATCTCCTAGAGCTTGTTGTCTCTTTTCCCTTGCATCTCATTTAGATTTGTCACTATAAGTATTCTGAATTGTTTATCTGACATTTCCATGAGTTCCATTGTGTTGTCTATGGATGATGAAGAATTGATGTTTCCCTTGGGTGAGAGATGTGTCCTTGGTTGCTCATATTTCTTGTGCCGCTGCGATGGTTTCTAGTCATCTGCTGATTTATACATTTCTTCCTAAATTCTTCAAGTTAATTCTGAGTGTTCAGAGCCATGTCGGAATAGGTGATCGGTGATATCTCTTCTGCTCTACCTCCCTGATGCTCAGCAGCAACCTGCACTGTTGTCCCTGATCTTGGATGATTCAAAGTCCTTGGAGTTTGTAGAGAACAGATGTGCCTGGGACTGAGCTGCTGAGCTTTAGTTGAGGAAGACAGAAGGGATCATTTCAGAAAATGCTGAAGTCTTAGAATTCAGATGTGTGTGACAGGAAATGAGCCACAGTGTCTCTACAAGTCTGTATCCCTGCTGCTAAGTGCAGCCAGGCCCATCAGGTATCCTGCTGGCGTGGGGAGGCAGGCAAGGTCTTCTAAAAGTCTAAGGTAACATACCTGGGAGTTCAAAGGCAAGTGGGGGAAGGGTTGAGCCACTGGTGTCTGCAGCACAGCCTTACCATTGTGAATTGGCTCACTGCACATCAAGGCCCATCGCTGGAATGGATGTCCTGATAACATGAGGAGTAGGACAAGGTCTTCTTAAATTCCCAGTTAACACACCTGAGAGTTCAAAGGTGAGTGGAGGCAGGGATGAGCCATGGATCTCTGCAGCACAGCCTTCCATCTACAAACAACTTCCCACACGGCAAGGCCCATCACTGGAATGGATGTCCAACAGTATAGGGCTTTTTTTTAATATGATTGTATTTAACTAACTAACTAAACTAACTAACTAACTAACTTCCTTCCTTCCTTCCTTCCTTCCTTCCTTTCTTTCAAATTTGACCAGAGAAGGACAGAACAAGAACAAGAGTGAGTGAGAGAGAGAGAAAGTGAGAAAGCAAGTCACCAGGTCTGGGACTCAAACCCTGGTTGATTGTGTGGGAGTCCAGCACCGTATGTGGGAGTCCAGAGTCTAGTCTACCACACCACCTGCTGGCCCCTGAGTATAGGACTTTTTAAAAGAGGTTTTAGTATTTATATTTAACTTTTGCCTTTTGTTCTCAAAGTTTTAAGAATTACAAATTTTTGAGCCTGCAGGTAATGTGGTGGTTAGGGTATTGGATTACCACATGGTCTACTGTGGTTTGAATCCTAGACCTGGTAGCTTAAATATCATGCTGGGCTGGGCCAGCAGATAGTGTAATGGTTATGTCACTGGACTCTCACATAGTCAACCATGGTTTAAATCCTGGACCCAGCCATGGTTTAAATCCTGGACCCAGCGACTTAAAGCATGTGTGTGTGTACCCAAAATCCCGAGAGGAGAATGGAGGAGAAGGGATTGTGTCATCCTCTTCAGGGGCGTGATTTCTTGCTGTCTCTTGTGAGCACACATGCCCTATAGCAAAGTCTTTCTCAAATCAATCAATCACTCCAGGTACTGTGTGCTTAAAATCCCAGGAAGAGATTGGAGGAGAAGGGATTGAGACGTGGTCATCCCCCTAAGGGGTGATTTCTCATGTTCCTTCTCACTATCTCTCTCCAGTTAGCACACATGCCCAACAGCAAAAACCTTAAAAAAAAATTTGAGACATTTCTGATACTTGTTTTCATTGTAAGTAGTACTACTAAAAGGTAATCATCAATTTTATAATCCATTTCATATTTATAACTATCGTTTACTAACAAAGACATCTTTTAGCCATTTATTCTTTGGAAATTAAAAGTGTACATTTAAGCATAGAAATTACATTTAACAGTGTAATTTTTTTGTTCTTTTTTTAAAGAATTATTTTATTTAACTTTTTAATTTATTTTATTTTATTCATTTGTTTATTTCAGTCTGACCAGAGAGGGACAGAGTGAGAGAGAGAGAAAGTGAGAAAGCAAGCTGCCAGGTTCTAGACTCAAACTGTAGTTGGCCATGTAGGAATCCAGCACCTTTAACCACCATGCCACCTGCTGGCCCAACAGTGTAATTTTAAATGTACCAATAGGGATAAGTAAAAATGTCTTTGTAGTCAAAATTAATGAATATAATGGAAGCAAGATATTTTTGGCTAGACCTATCATGAATTTGTGCTTTAGTTTTTCTGTATCAGTAACTTAACTCCCTACCTTATGTCATCTGCTAACACCTAGAGCCGTGTGACTTTTATACTCCAGCTGTGTTCTGGAATAAATGTCTAAACTATTTTTTATTCTTACTATGTTCAAAATTAGTTCTTCAGCTGATCTTGCTCAATAGTTGACAGAGAAAGAGTTTCTCCCTTCATCTTCTGATCGAATACCCACAGTGTGTTGACATTTGATGACCTATGTTGGCTACTCTGTAGGTCATCGCATGCGGGGCAATGGTAAATGCATCAAAAGTGATTGGGGGACCAGCAGTTAGTGTAATGGCTATGTCACTGGACTCCCCCGTGGTCGGCCGCGGTTCGCGTCCTGGACCCGGTGGCTTAAAACTCAAACTGGGCACGTGTGTGTGTGCGTGCCCAAGATCCCGAGAGGAGAATGGAGGAGAAGGGATTGCAGCATGGCCATCCCCCCGGGGGGGGGGGATTTTTACTTTCTGTCTCTCTGTCTCTGTCTGTCTGGCGAGCTCACGCACTCTATAGCGAAAACCTCTCAAAAAAAAAAAAAGTGATTGGGACAATGGCAGACCATGTAAAGAAGTAGGAACTGGATTAGCTGATAATTTAACTCTAAATTTATATTTTAGAACATCTTTAGATGATTCCTTTTTTTCCCTACTTTTTCTTATTTTTCTAGAGGGCACATGCATTCACTGGGGAGAAAAAGAAAGAGGGAGGAATGGAGAAAATGAGAAAGCACCACCCTATAAGAAATAATCATGCCACAATCCCTTCTCTTCCATTTCTCCTTTTGAAATTTTGGGAATGCACACACACGTGCTTGGAGTGTTTTTCAAGACACTGGAGCCAGGTTTTGAACCATGGATTTGGCCATGTGGGATCCAGCTGCCTTAACCACCATACCACAACTAGCCCTAGATAATTCGTTTAATAAAAATTATAAACTACTGGGGAACCAGCAGTTAGCATAATGGCTATGTCGCTGGACTCCCACGTAGTCGACCGCGGTTTGTGTCCTGGACCCGGTGGCTTAAAACTCACGCCGGGCGCGTGTGCGTGTGTGCCCAAGATCCCGAGAGGAGAATGGAGGAGAAGGGATTGCGGCGTGACCATCCCCTCTGGGGGGTGATTTCCCTCTTTCTGTCTCTATGTCTTCTCTCTCTGTCTGTCTGGCGAGCGCATGCACCCTATAGCGAAAACCTCTCAAAAAAAAAAAAAAAAAAAATTATAAACTACCTAAAAATTTGGGGAAATTTTATACCAGTTTTATAGAAAGTCATTAAATGTAATGTTACATATTATATATAACTAAATAGAACTATATAATTCTAATTTAAAGCAAAATATTAGGTTTATTTTTATTTATAACAGTTTGTTTGAAAAGTAAATTTTAACTTCTAGAGAAAGAAACATTTTCTATACAGTTATGTGAACTTTTTGTGAAAACATTGAAGAAGGTCATGGAATTTTTTTAAATAAGCAGTACCCTGAACTCTGTAAAAGTCTTTTATGGTAGGAATCCTTAATGTAGTATTGATTAAATCAGGGGAAGAACATTTTCCCCATCAAAAATATTTTTCCCACACACACACACACAATATATATATATATAATAAAAGAAAACACCTGAGTCTGGGCAATTTATTAAAAACAGTTTGGAGGGGGAACCAGCAATTAGCGTAGTGGCTCTGTTGCTGGAATCCCACGTAGTCGACCGCGGATCGTGTCCCGGACCTGGTGGCTTAAAACTCACGCCGGGCACGTGTACGTGCGGGACCAAGATCATGAGACGAGAGAATGGAGGAGAAGGGATTACGGCGTGACCATCCCTCCTGGGGGGTGCCTTCTTGCTTTCTCTCTCTCTGTCTCTCTCTTTCTGTCTGGTGAGCGCACGCGCCCTATGGCGAAAAAACCTCTCCAAAAAAAAAAAAAAACCAGTTTGGAGGCCAATGTCGTGGGCCTGTATCTGGTGAAGGGTGTCTGTCTGCAGTACAACACTGAGGGGCCATGGATGAGCAATAGAGCAGGACATACCTGTCTGTGCGTCTGTCCTACTCCTCATAAACCCACTGGGAGTCAATCATGGGGACCCTGCCCAGGTGACCTTACTTTGGATCGCCTTTTTTGTCAATTTGTTCTCCTAAGTGGTTATCTGCTTTATTGAGATTTATGCTAGATCCAGACCCATCTCACCTATAGTGGTTCTGGTCACGGGTCCAGTGGTAATTTATACTAGATCCAGACTCATCTCACCTATAATGGTTCTGTTCACAGATCAAGGTGTATAGTTGATCTTTCAACATCATGGTCAGATTGTTTTCACCCTTTAAATCCCATCACTACCACATCTCAATACATGAATGGGGAGACATATTCAAATCACCGCAACACTTCAGATATTATTAAAGATAAATTGAATAGATGATTGTTTCATTGAGCATTCCCCCACTAATTCTGAATTACTGAAAATATAGGCACTGTACTATTCATTGAGTTACCCAATAAAAAGAATTTTCCTCTACATGTTTCTAAGTTCTGCATTGCACATCAATAGAATACAGCCTAAATTAGTAGTAAGCTTTAAGAAATAAAGGATTCTTTCACTGTGTCTTTCATATGTGTGTCACAACTAGTTTTTGTATGATAAAGGACTTTTATGTTTATGGTGTTATAAATTATGTCTCTGAATTTTAATAGATAGTTGATAATGTGGACATATTAGCTTAAATATGTAACCTTTATAATCTGAAATAATATATTCGTTAGGAAATGCCTATAAATCAAACATTTTTCCTAAACCATTTCAGACTTTTCCACACAATTTATAACCTTATGGTTTTTCTGTCAATTTGTTCTTCAATGTGGTTATCTGCTTTATTGAGATTTATGCTAGATCCAGACCCATCTCACCTATAATGGTTCTGGTCACAGATCAAGTTTTAATTTATACTAGATCCAGACCCATCTCACCTATAATGATTCTGTTCACAGATCAAGTTGTACAGTTGATGTTTTTACATATAGTTTAGTGTTAGCATATAACACTGAATTTCGTGTTGTTTTGTACTTTTTTACACTGTAACTTGAAACTTGAAACTCTGCTCCCTCAGCACTTGGATCAGTCTATACTCTCATCACTCATTTGATTTTAACAACTGTATTTTGTTCTTTTCAGGTAAATAAAAATGTTGAATTTACTGCCCAAGAACTTTATGATTGTGTTTCTCAGACTGAGTATCGGTAAGTCTTACCTATTTGTGGATATATATTGTAATAAGCTTTTACCACTTGTAGCACCACATGTCTTGGTGATGATAAAGGGCTCTTTTTTTTTTTTTGAGAGGTTTCTGCTATAGCACGTGTGCCCCCAGAAAGACAGAGAGAGACAGAAAGCGAGAAGTCACCCCTCAGGGGAATGGCCACACTACAATCTCTTCTCCTCCATTCTCCTCTTAGGATCTTGGGCACACATGCATCTGGCGTGAGTTTACGCCACTGGGTCTGGGATTCAAACTGCAATTGACTGCATGGGAGTCCAGTGACATAGCCGTTACGCCAACTGCTGGTCCCCTGAAGGGTTCTTTTTATGTTTTTTTCACTACATTACAATTTTTGGTAACTTCATTAGTGGGGAATATTCCATACATACAGAAAAGACCCTGTACGTTTGCGTATATCAGCCATAAAGTTTAAACTTTGCTCAAAATCTTGCCCTCAAGGCTCCTTTATATTTTAAAAAATTATTGAAGACCCCAAAGAGCTTCTGCTTATGAAGGCCATAGCTGTCTTTATTTATTACATTAGAAATTAGAGCTAAGGATTTAAAGTGTTTATTAAAACATTTTAAAATAGCAGTAACTAATTAACCACATGTTAAGTGACATTATTATGAAAGCATTTTTTTCCAAAAATAATTATTACTGACAAAGGTGGCATTGTTCTGCATTTTTACAAATCTCTCCTTATTGTCTGGCTTAACAGAAGGCAACTGGGTTATTATAACTGCTCGTGCATTGTCTGTTACAATAATCATATGTCATGTATTGCTGGAATATAATTGTAGGCTTTTGTAAAAATGAGAGTGCAGAAACCAAATCACATCTTATTCTTAATATGAAAATAACTTGGACCTTTTGACCTCACAAACCCTTTGAAAGAGTCTTGGATCCCCTGGGGTCTTCAGACCACATTTTGAAGAACAGCTGGTACAAAGAGTATCCATATGCCTATCATTCAGCTGAGAAAATGGAACTTTATCTATCCTAGTTATATGCTCCTTCCTACTCTCCCTAGGGATTTCGTGTTTATAAAAATCTCTTTTTCTTTTTGATTTTATTAATACTAAGTAGTATGTACTATAAATATGTTGATTTATCTTGTGCTTTTAAACTTACTGACAGCTCACTGTTTTTTCTCAGGGTAATTTGATCTATAGCATTCATATGTAACAAAAAGGAGGAACATTGCAAACCTGATTCCTACATATAAGGGATATAGTTTCAAAGTCTTTGCTAAATCTGAATGTTTGTGTCTCCCAAAAATTCATACTTTTGAGACCTAACCCTGAGTATGATAGAATTAGAAGACAAGAGTTTTAGGGAAATAGATTAGTGGCCTGATAAGACATTAGCGCTAGCTAGATGACACGTAAGGACATGTGGAAGGTGCCATGTATGAAGGGGCCCCTCAACAGATGCCACATCTGCTATTGCCTTGGTCTTAAACTTTCCAGTCTACAGTGCCATGAGGGAGCTATTTCTGTTGTTGATAAGCTACCCAGTGTAAGTTATTTTGTTACATCAGCCTGAGTACAGTAAGACAGCCCCCCAATTCTCGGCTGAACAGACGAAATCATGAAGAACAAAAGCCTGTTTAACCCTTCAGTATTGCCTTCAAATGCCCCCACCCCTGTATTCCATTTAACATATCAAGAGTCATCATGTAAGAAAAAAAAAAAGAGTCTTCTATGTGGGTACATGGAATGGTAGTTGGTTTATGGTCAGTTCTATTGTAATTTGAGATGTATATTCCTACGTATCACCACTGCATTTAATGAAATCGTGTAATACAGTAAAAATGACAGGTATACACACAGAGCATGTGCGTACACAAGCCAGCAGGATAGAGAAATGAAGAGGAAGGGATTATGGTGTAACCAGGCCCCGTGGGGCAGGTGCTCTCTCTCTCTCTCTGTCACTGTCTCTCTTTGGCAAGTGAATTTGCCCTGTATAAAATTTTATTTTATTTTATTTTAATTAATTAATTAATTTTGCTGTAGGGTACATGGCTTGTCAGAGGATGAGAGAGAGGGAAAATGTGAAAGCAACCCCCACTTGAAGGGGGGTGTCCTCACCACAATCCCTTCTCTTCTACTTCTCCCACCTCTCAGGATTTGGGGTACTCATGCACATGAGACTAGCGTGGTTTTCATGCTACTAGGACTGGGACTCCAACTGTATGATCAGCCGGATCCAGCTGCCTTAACTACTATGTCACCAGCTAGCCTCACCCTCTAGCAAATTTTCAAAAAGAACAGAAAAACTCATAGGACTTATATGAAAATAGAGTTGGAGCACAATACTCAAAAACTTCCTCAGAGACACATAAAAAGATAGGAAGACCAGTGGTGATGTGGTGTTTTGGGCAGCTGGATCCCACATAGCCAACTGTATGGTTTGAGTCCCAGACCCTGTGATCTGAAAAACATCCCGGGCATGTCTGCATGCATGGTCAAAAATCTCAAGAGGAGAAATGGAGAAGGGATTGCTGCATGGTCATCACCTCTAGGGGTGATTTCTTACTTTCCTTTCTCTCAGGTAAGCACACATGCTCTCTGGCAATTAAAAAGAAGAAATTAAAAAGATAGGAGCCTAATAAAAATAGCATTACAGATTGATACATGCTATATGACTAAGAAATATGTATATAATAAATGTAACATTTTACCTTGAAAAAGACCCAAGATTTACTTGTAGAAGTGGTCGTCAAAAGGCTTGTTGCTTCAGAGTTATCTGAAATCGGATGTAGAGTTGTAATGCCACCTGTGGGTGGATATCATTCCTAACACATGTGGAGGGCTTAGATGGCTGGTACATGTTTGAGGTGTCTGCCCGTGCGAGTTTTCTGTATTCCTAAATTGCTTCATTCAGCTGGTGTAGTTCTCTGTTCATCTCATGCTTCTGACTTCCATACTTGTGTACAAACAAATGTGGAATTTGCATTGTACTCGAATTGTTCTTGAATGTGTCTATGGTGTTGAAACAAATGTATGTGTTCAAACAAGCTCTATAGCAGAACTGACTGTATTTTCACTGCTGTGTTATGTGCTATTATATCACTAAACAGCAGTTTATTTGCCATTTTCTTGCAAACTACACATACTACTTTGTGGCCACAAAGTTAACTATTAAGATGTTTCTGTTGTTAAAACTCCAGATTGAGGGACCAGCAGATGACACAGCAGTTATGTCGATGTACTCCCACATGGTCACCCGTGGTTTGAGTCCCAGACTTGGTGGCTTGAAATTCATGCCGGGCACATGTGCATGCCCACCCAAGATCTTGGGAGGAGAATGAAAGAAAAGGGATTGAGGTGTGGCCATCCTCCCCCGGCGGGGTGGGAGCATAATTTCTTACTTTCCCTGTTTCTTTCTCTATCTGGCGAGTGCATGCACCTTAAAGCAAAAACCTCTTAAAAACAGAAAACAACAAAACTCTGGAATGTTAGATCAGGCCATTGGCACAGTAGTTCAGTGCTGTGCAGAGAGAGTCAGATCCGACATGACCGACTGCAGTTTGAATCCCAACCTTGGCTGCTTGTAAAACCTGCCAAGCGGGTGCCTAGGATCCTGACATGATGGAGAAATGGAAGAATAGGATTTGTGGTGGCAAGCCCCATTGGAGGGTTCTCTTTCTGACATGCACATCTCTCTTTTAGCATTAAAAATATTTTTTAAAAAATATAGATTAATAGGTTTGTTTGGTGGTATCAGGATACTATTGGGTTGTTTGAAAAGTCATGACACATTTTTGCAATAGAAAACAGGAAAAATACATCATGACTTTTCCAACAACCCAATAGAAATGGTAATTATAGAAAAATGTTCCAATATAGCTATGAAAGTTCACTCATTCAATTAAAATAAGTTTTCCAAGAAAATCTGAAGTAATTGTGCATATACAAATTTGTTATAGTTGGGAGAGTAAGTTATTTCTTACCCTAATCTTTAGACTTTTTTTTTTTGGAGAGGTTTTTGCTATAGGGCACATGTGCTCTCCAGGAAGACAGAGAGAGACAGAGAGACAGAAAGTGAGAAATCACCCCCCAAGGGGGATGGCCACGCCACAATCCCTTCTCCTCTCGGGATCTTGGGCATGCACGCACACACGCCCGGCGTGAGTTTAAGCCACTGGGTCCAGGAGTCGAACCACGGTCAACTACGTGGGAGTCCAGCGACATAGCCATTACACCAACTGCTGGTCCCTTCAGACTTTTAATGAATCAGTTATATTCTTTTTTTTTATTCACCTTTATAAATAATCAACATCTAAAATTCTGTGTGAGCTTTTTTTTTTTTTTTGGTCACACTGTATGTGCTTGCTAGAAACAGAAAGAGAGAAAGTAAGAAAGCACCCCCGTGGGGGACAGTCACACCACAATCCCTCACTATCCCTTCTTTTTCACTTCCCCCTCCTTTCAGGGTTTTGGGCATGCACGCACATGCTTTCAGCATGTTTTTCAAGCTGCCAGGTGTAGGACTTCAACTGTGCAGTAAACCACGAGGGAGATCCTGCTGCCTTAACCCTGCCACTGCTATCCCCATACCTGTTTTTCAGATCTTTGTTTTCTTCCCATTTACTAAGCCAGGAATTTGAACTATGACATTAATAAGTTCTCTCTTATCCCAAAAGGATGCATTTGAGGAGAAATCAAATATACTTAATGCATTAAAAATGATGATTGCAGCTCAATGAGCTTTTGGGTTAATAACATTGAGATTTGCAACTCTGTTGTTTTTTTTTGAAATTCGTTGCCATATTTAGAGTGCCGTATTAGTTTCTGTGTTCCACAGCTCACATTTCTCAAATAATTTGCCAAAAAAGAGAGAGCTTCTTCTGGTTTCCCTGGCTCATGCTAGATAGAGGGCCAAGTACAGCAGCTGAAAAATAGCATGGCTTCCTTTGGCTTAGAGGTGAAAACAGGCTCAACTTGTGGTATAGATTGCTCCCTTGAGAATTAT